AGTCGAGGGGCTTATAATCCAGTTGGGAGAGCAGAAAAAAGACAACACAATGACTGGAGAAGGTACGTAAAGGTTTAGGATCAAGGTCTCCATACCTCGCAAATCAGTATGGGACTCTAAAAGCTTCTCCTCCCATCTTGGTTGGGAGACAGGGCCTGGCCTCTCTCCGGGGCTTGTGAGAGGCAGCGGGAAGAGGTCCTGTCCAGGCAACCCCCAGGGGTGGTTGCTACGGAATTTCCGTGCTGGGCACTTGATGCTCAAAGCCCTGGTTCCCAAGAGACCCAGCACCACAGCAACCACACCGGGAAACTGGGCCAGCTGAGGGCTTGAAAGAGAGAAGATGGGGAGAGGAGGAGGGAAGGGGGGCAGGGGAGGAGGGAAGGGGCAGAACCTGTCAGACTGACTCCTGATAACCGTGGCCTTCTACGTAGGGCCTCCATGGCCTGAGAGAGGGGCTCGTGAGTCATCATTTGGAACACCTCAGCCTGACCTTGAAAACTTCTTGTTTTCACTCTGTATCCCAGGAACAAAGGACAATTTCAAGTCTTCACAGATGTGAAAATTTTCATATTCACACCAGTGTTCTTAGTCTAAATTAGCTTTGGAGGGGCAGAATCAGATGAGGAATCAAATGAAGGAACGAGCCTCAGGGCACACCACCCAAGGGCACATGCATATGTGTGTTTACAAACACGCATACACACTCACATTCACACGTACACACATACAAACTCAAACGCACACACAGGTATACGCCCATTCTCTCTCTCTCTCTCTCTCTCTCTCTCTCTCACACACACACACACACACACACACACACACACACACACCCCACATGCACAGAATCCACCTAGAGCGATGGTTCAGAAGGAAACGTCTAAGCCTCAGGAGAATCAAACTCCCCACGAGCTCCTACAGGTCGACAGTCACCTGTCATCCGAGATGAGGATTTAGGGTTCCGAAGGCCTCTCGGCCCCCAGACTTTCCCACCAGGCTGAGGGCCAGCAGACAAAAGAGTCTCCAGAATAGAGGCCATCTGCCCTTGGGAGCCCACCTGTGGGACTGGGGCCCCTGAATTCCTTCCCGCGCCTCCCTAGCAGCTGCCCAAAGTGCCTCCTCTCCTCTCGAGGGAGCCACTGCACCTGGTGCTCCAGACCAGGCTGCTCTGCACACGGCTGTCTGCTCTGAGCCTCCGCTTTACCACGCCCCAGGTGACCTGTGCAGAAGTGAGAGGGCACCCCCCACCCCGCTTCTCTGGGGTGCGTCGGTCATAGAGTCATCATCAGGAACTTCAAGCTTATGCAAACGCCACTTCAGGCTCCCAGAGGGCTAGTGTGGGCCCACCACCCCAACCAGGCTCAGAGGCACAGGTCACTGGCCCTCACTCGTCCTGGGTCTCATCGTCTGTCTCTGAGCCACCGAGCCCAGGCCTTTGCTGGCTCTCTGCTGCCCCCATGTGGCTTCCTCATGGGGCTGCCTGACGCCGGCCAGTGCCAGCCAGGAGCCCCTTTCAGACATGCAGGGCCTTCCACTGTCTGAGTCCTAAACACCCCAGACCCTGCCCAAGACACCTCCGCCTTGCAAATGGAAGCTGAGCAAACCTCTCTGCTCCCAGCCTCTCAATGCAGCATGAGTTATATCCTGAGGACTGGGCCTCCCTGAGCTGAAGAGGGCTCTCCCCTCCCCTCTGCCCAGTTCCCCCCTCCCTTCCCTCCTTTCCCCTTGGCTCCCCACCCAGGCCTTGCCAGCAGGCAGGAAGGAAGCTGTTCATAGCGGGGAGGGTGGGGCACTTCCAGCTCACACTGAACAACCCCGGGTTGGGCTATAAAGAGTCAGGGCCTTCCGCTCTCGTCACCCGCCACCCCCGCAGCCCCACAGCCTTACACACACTCCTGGGGCCAAGGCCTCTCCTCCCCCAAGGTCATGGCATCCCATCTCCAGCCCCGAAAGCTCTCCGCTCTGAGAGGGGAGGAAGGAGCAAGGTTTGCCTCCCTCTGAGGGAGCAGGATGAGCCAGGGGTCTGGCTACTCACCCACGGGAAGGTCTGTCACCCTTCCCGACCAGGGCCTAAGGGGTTGGGGTCTGAGCCAGCCTCCCCGGTGGCAGAAAACACAGTCACTGTCAGGGACCAAGGGGTCAGGCTCCCAAACAGGTTCTCTCCAAAGCGCCTTCCAGCTTGAAATCCCACCCTTTAAAACTCAAGTTCTTTCCTATCGGTGGAACGTCAACTCTGCAAGGTCTTGAAATTTTCGTTTTTTCAGAAGTTACTCTTTAAAATGCAATCACTAATGAGATGCACGAGCCTTAACACGGTAGCAGGGTCGCTGACAAAGAGCAAGGTCGAGAGAGGAGAACAGGGCAGGGCCCTGGGGAGGGGAGGGAAAGCCCATCCCAGAGGTGGAAGAATGAAGAACTGTCAGAGTCCCCTGGGAGAGGCTAGGACACGTAGTGCAGCGTGGACACAGCCCCGCCAGGCCATGGCTCCCTCTGCCCAGACCCACGCCAGTTCAGGCCTGCCCACGCGTTTGCGGCGAAGCAAGCCGACGTCCTCGACACAGCTACTCGGCGCAGGGTACTCATGCCCGGCTGCGGAGCATGCAGAAGGGGTGCTGAGCAAGGCCTCGCAGAGGAAACACACCAGGGCCGCGTGGGTCGGGTCACCCGGGAAGTGGCTGAGAAGGAGTTGGAAGCAGAAGAGACTGTCTGGGGTACTGCCTGTGAGAGATGATGGGGAGGCAGGGAAAGCCTCGGGAATGAGGTGCAATCTCGACATCTACGGAAAGAGGGAGAAGGAGGAGGACTGGGTGGCGAGAGCCTTAGACCATTTCTGAGAAGCCCTCCGCCAAGCCGATGGGAGCACTGCGGAAAGACTGCCCTCCGAGGAGTCCCAGCTGGGCTGACACAGTGAGCCTGTCTGCCGCCCGGGGCTCAGTGACTATCTGAAGCTTCAGGGAAGCCTGAGGCCTTGGGGTACATGCCGGGTAGGTTCTGAAGGCATTGCAGCTGGGAACTGCCTGCCACCTGCACCTCCTGCAGCGCATTCTCTCTTGAAGGGAGATCTGAGCAGGACACATCCAGAGCCAACAAGGCTGGGCCGTGAGGAAGGGGAAGGAAGGTTTCCTTTAGTCGGAGGGCGAAGGAGGAGCTGGCGGGGACAGCACAGGCAAGGGCCCGGGAGGCAGGAAACACGAGGACTGTTTGGGAATCTGTGAGAAAGCCCGTTTGTCTGAAACAGAGGCTGTGAGCACCACACTTGGAGAATGGAGGGTCAGGCCAGTGTATTGGAGTGGCCTTGGGTTGACGATCTCAGGGAAAGCCGACGCGCGAGGCAAGCCTTGCTTTTGAGATGAAGCTGGCAGAGGTACAGAGCACAGCTAGTCTGGAGAGGAAGCCCAGAGATCAGGAGAGCACGGGAGGGGCTGTGGTCAGCGATGCAGTCAAGGGGTCATGAGGACCTCAGCGTCGGATGCCCGTCTCACCTGGTCCCTGGGGAGGCCGGCCACAGGTCCGTTAACTGGAAGCTGGGAAAAGGAGTTCTCGATCCTGCACTTAGGTCACGGCTCAATAGGAACCAGAGATGGGGTCAGATGTCTGAGTGGTGGGGTCTGCCTGCCATCGCCTGCCCCAAGGGAAAGGGGGATGGGCGGGGTGAGGCCTCGGGCTCCGGGACCACGGGCTGGTCTGGACGGAGCCTTTCCCCTTTGCTGACAGACGGGCAGCACAGTTCTCCAGGCCTCCAGGAGCTCGGGCTTGTCCGTGTTTACAAGGACCCCTCGCCCTCCTCCTTGGCAGACCCTACTAATTCCACGGTGTGACCCCAGAGTTCACAGCACAGCCCATTCCTTCCGCTGATCTGCTGGCCCGACCCCCACCCAGGCCCACCCGAACCCTACCCTCCACTGTTTTCCGAAGGAGTCCAGCCAACACAAATCCGCATGTTTGTTTGTCTGCCTGTCTGCCTCTCCCAGGCTCTGCCTGCCCCAGAATCTCAACTTCCGTTTCTTTCTTGAAGTTTCCCTTGGTCTCTGTGGTCTCAAATCCACGAGGCTTGGACACCTATAGATCCAGATGCCCCAGCTCATGGCCTTTCTCCAGCCCTCGAAATGTCTTAGAACTACAAACCCCAGCATGCACTACTCTCCAAGGTGCCCGAAGAGTGTTGCTGTGCACCACCTACATTCTGGGAATTGTAGTTTCCCTAGTCTCGCTCGCTTGCTAGGGCTCCAGGCTCTCCCCGGTGGGCAGTCCCTGCCTAGTCTATCTGCTGACTTACTGCCCCCAGGGATGCATGCGTCACTGAATGACAGAGTGGGGGTGGAGGCCCTAAATGGCAGCTTCCTGCAATTTTGTGTCCCCCACTTGAGTCACTGGAGGGCGGGGGTTCAAGGAAATTGGGGCTGGGAGGGGAAGGGATACCCTAATGCCATACTCAAGGACAAAGTGTCACTGCATCCGCTCTGGTCTTGTGTCCCCGAGAACCCAAAAGAACTCGAAGGCCGGGATCCGGGGGGGCTTAGATATGAGGGGGGTGATAAAGAGAGCTTGGGGCAACCCTAAAAGCCCCTGTGGTCACAAATAGTCTGAGACTCATCCCTTCCTAATGACGCAGTGCTCACTTTCTGCTCAGGGTGTGGCCAGCAAGGGCCAGGTGGACAGCCTCCCCTGGTCAGATGCCACAGAGGGGCCTTTCTGACCTTCTGGTTGCCCACTCTGCCACTCCCCATACCACAGCTGCTGCACCACAGCCCCACAGCACCGCTGGACACCTGGGTTCCCACTTACCAAGCTTAGCCCTTGGAGCGGAACCCCGGCGTCCGGCTCCCCTCCCTCTGGGCCGGAGGGCGTGGAGCCGAGGCTGTAGAGCCTCCCAGCTGCCTTGTTCCTGTCCCATTGTGTGTGGGACAGGGGCGGGGCAAGGGCCAGCACCGGAGAGCCCCCTCCCCTTCCTAAGGAAAAGGCCCGGGCTCTGCTCCGAGCTGCAGAGCTGAAGTGAGGCTGACATGGGCAACTTGAAGAGCGTGGGCCAGGAGCCTGGGCCACCCTGCGGCCTGGGGCTGGGACTGGGCCTCGGGCTGTGCGGCAAGCAGGGCCCAGCCTCCCCGGTGTCTGAGCCCAACTGGACGCCAGCACCTGCACCCCTGCCTGAGCCAGACCACAGGTGAGGGCCACAGTGGCCAGGAGCAAGTGGTAGGGGTGGGAGGCTGGTGTCAAGACCTGAGGCCCAGAGCTTGGGAGGGCTGGGGTCTGCGGCCCAGCCTGGAGGGCCAGGTTGCCAATGCAAAAATGCTGTCCGTGTGGACAGAACAGGACGATCAGACAAGAGACCGGGGGCAGGGCCAGCAGGTGACACGTGAAAGTCGGAGGTAAGGGAGCCAGCTTATCAGGTTTGAATGGCCAGGGTTTCAATGCCGCTTTTCCACCAAGAGCTGTTTGACCTTGAGCAAGTTACTTAACCTCTCTGAGCCTTGCATTTGTATATAACAGAGATATAGCGCACTTACTCCCTGGCGTCGTTGTAAGGTCCGAGCTCACAGCAAGCCTTCCACGAATGGCGATGATTATTTAACAGAAGAAAGGAGCTGGGGGAATAATTCTAGGAGAGCGAGAGTTCGGGTCTCACCGAAAGGGCAGAGCTGGGGCAGGAGACACAGGCCGCTGGGGTGGGAGCCGAGAAGACACAGCAGCTAGCCCTTTGCCCCGCTCGAGGCCCCTCCTCCTAATGGCCACACACCCCAAAACTAAGCCGGCAGCCCCAGCCCCCAGAAGGGGCCTCCTTAGGGCAGAGGTTCCTGGAGAGAGGAAGGCCGCCGCGGTGGGAGGCCAGGTGGGGTGCCAGGCCAGGCAGGGCTGCTGGGGAAGGGCTCCGCACAGGCGCGCCGGGGGCCCGAGGCCCTCCCTTCCTCCCGGAGGCTGGCCTGGCGGCTCTGGGAGGAAGTGATAAGGCCTCCGAGGCTTCCCTTCACACGATGGCTACTGTCCGGAGGGGTGGGAGTGGGGAGGGAAATCTGGGCTGAAGAGTCCCCGCTGGGCTCAGGCTGGAGCCTCTAACTCCTCAAGGTAGGGCTCATCGCAGTTTCGGGAGCTGGACACCCCATGTCCAGAAGAGGCGAGGTGGGCCCTGCACAGGGATGAGGACCGGCCTTGGGCCAGGGACTCAGGGGTTCAGGACCATAGCCCCGACGACACCGGGTCTGGCTGAGCATCAGGAGGCCTGGGAAGGAGTCAGGCTGGCCTGGGCGTGGAAGGGACCAGCTCTGCCTGTGTGGCCTCCGGCGAGATAATTCACTTCTCTGAGCCTCAGGTCCCTCATCTGTAAATGGGATGCAGATATTGCCTGCCTCCTAAGGTCATGAGAGGAGAGAAAATGTAAGAAGCACGTGGCAAGCAAGCAACAAATCATTGGGATTATTAATGCCGTCGGAGGGGTCTCTGGGGTACGCCCAAAAGGAAATACATTCCACCTCCATGACCCCACCCTGGCTCTCAACAGCCCCCCGCCCACCCGGTCCCCGGAGGGGCCCAAGTTCCCTCGCGTGAAGAACTGGGAAGTGGGGAGCATCACCTACGACACCCTGAGTGCCCGGGCACAGCAGGTAAGGTGGGAGCCCCCCATCATAAGTTGAGGGCAGTCCCTCCTGAACTGGCTGGAGGACAAGACTGGGAAGAACCAGAGGAGCTAAGGGACGTGCAGGGGACTTTGGTGACAATCGGCCCTTGCCCCAAGTTCTGCCAGGGTCCAGCCCTGACCCAGCCCACCCTCACCCCTGTTTCCAGTCTCGGCCCTTGCCCTAAATCTGCACGGCCCAGGACCCACCCTCCTCTGCCCTCCCACCTGGCGCCTGACCCCTGACTTCCCACCCTGGCGCCTGACCCCTGACCTGATCCTGACCTTTGTGCTCCCTGCTCTCTCCACCTCTGCCCCCCACCGCCATCCAGGACGGACCCTGCACCCCAAGACGCTGCCTGGGCTCCCTGGTATTTCCACGGAAACTGCAGGGACGGCCATCCCAGGGCCCCCCACCCCCCGAGCAGCTGCTGAGCCAGGCCAGGGACTTCATCGACCAGTACTACAGCGCCATCAAGCGGTGTGACCCGGACCTGACGCCCACGCCCACCCTTGTCCTTCCCCGACCCCCGTCCTGAAACCGCCCACACGGAGCCTGAGCTCAGCACCCACCGGCCTCCCCCCAGCGCCCTCAGGGAGCCTGGGGCCCTCCCCAGCCCACAAGACTCCCTTCTGCTCCCCTGTCCTTCGCAGGAGCGGCTCCCAGGCCCACGAGCAGCGGCTTGAGGAGGTGGAAGCCGAGGTGGCAGCCACAGGCACCTACCAGCTTCGGGAAAGCGAGCTAGTGTTCGGGGCCAAGCAGGCCTGGCGCAACGCTCCCCGCTGCGTGGGCCGGATCCAGTGGGGGAAGCTGCAGGTGTGGCTGGCTAGCAGGCTCCCAGGATGGGGTGGGGGACACGAAAGAGGAGGGGAGGGGTGTGGCCGCTCTGAGGTTTCCCTGGGGGGTCCTGAGCAGTAGGGAGATCTCTGCCCGTTTCCCTAGAGACCAGCACGTAGCTAACACCAGGCCATTAATACCTGGTCGTGAAGCCCCATGGCAGTGCCTTACAGGAGGACACCCAGATGCACCAAGGCTGTGAGGACAGCTGAGCTTTGGTCCCTGGGGGGTATTGTCAGAAACAGGGGCAGCCTTCGGGAAGAGACTGCTGCTTGCCCAATCCAGGCCCCTCACCCCAAACACATCGCTCCCTCCCAGTCCCCCAGCACCTCAGCCCCACACCCTCCCTGCCGCACCATGTGACTCAGAGCCAGCCTGGGCTGCTAGAACAGCCTGTGACACTAAGAGAGGAAAGCTGGCCCACAGGAGAACCCGATCCATGACCTTGGCCTCCTTACTGTAACTGATCACTGAAGAACTTAGAATAAAGCCACATGCTCTGTAAATCCCAAGGAGTCTCAGATAATAAGGATAATCCCGTCTGACGCTAGCTAGCAAAGCCCTCTAAGTTGTTCAAGGCTGGCGCTCAGCTCTGAACCCATCAGAGCGTCTATATTTGACTCCACTCTGCTACATCCCTCTCTGGGCCCCAGGCCAGCCACTGCCACCTCCTGCCTCTCACTAACACAAGTCTCCTCCTCCCTGAGGCAGGAAAGGGACCTCCCAGCCTCCTGCTGGGGCCTCCACTCGGCCAGTCCAGACGGCTCCTCCTAGCATCAAAATGCCAGGATGGGCAGCGTCCCCAAAGGACATCTAGAGCAGCCACCCTCCCTTTCCATCATCGCTGTGTTCCAGGAGAGTCAGAGGGCTGGCTGGGGCGCGGCGGGGCTGAGGCTTAAGCACCATGGATAACAGGGAGCTCGGCACCCACACCTCTAGGTGGCCTCCGCATCAGTTGGGGCCCTTCCCCAGGCCTCAGTTTGACAGTTCCTCCTGCGTCAAACTGAGGGTTCCTCCTGCGTGCCGGGCACCGAGTCAGCTTCTGTAGGCTGGAGATAAGAGGCAGACAGGCTATCCGGGTGCGGCGTGCGGGGCAGGAAGGGGTCGGTGTGGGTGCAAATGGTCAAGGGGGCTCCCCAGAAGAGAAAGAACCGTGGCTCACCGCGAGTGACACCCCAGCCTTGGAAGTCTCCCCTGCCTTCGTTGCATTCTGGGGCTGGCCTCAAGTCCCCATCTCCCTCCTGTCCCCCTGCCTCGGCTGGCTCAGGTGTTTGACGCCCGTGATTGCAGCTCTGCTCAGGAGATGTTCACCTACATCTGTAGCCACATCAAGTATGCCACCAACAAGGGCAACCTCCGGTGAGTGTCCGAACCCACCAGGCCAACCCCCCTACCCCCAACTCGCAGAGAAGTCGGGGCTCTGACCAGCTCCCCCCACCTCCCCGTGTCAGCTCCGCAATCACAGTGTTCCCCCAACGCACCCCGGGCCGCGGGGACTTCCGCATCTGGAACAGCCAGCTGGTGCGCTACGCGGGCTACCGGCAGCAGGACGGCTCGGTGCGCGGGGACCCAGCCAACGTGGAAATCACCGAGGTGGGCGCGCGGAGGCGGAGTAGGGGGAAGCGGTCGGCGAGGGCTCTGGGGTGAGGGGTCAGCGAAGCAGGGAGAGGGGCCCCTCACTGAGACGAAGAATGGGAGGTGACCGATGCAGGGGTCCCTGAGACCCGCCTGCGGCCCTGCCTCCCGCAGCTCTGCATCCAGCACGGCTGGACCCCGGGAAACGGCCGCTTCGACGTGCTGCCCCTGCTGCTCCAGGCCCCAGACGAGTCCCCAGAACTCTTCACTCTACCCCCCGAGCTAGTCCTCGAGGTGCCCCTGGAGCACCCCACGTGAGCACGAGGGGGACCGGGTCAGGTGGGAGAGAGGGCTGCCATGGGGGTGGCGGGCGGGCAAAGCCTCGCGGGAGACCTGACCGCACGGCGGCGCCCGCAGGCTGGAGTGGTTCGCGGCCCTGGGGCTGCGCTGGTACGCCCTCCCGGCCGTGTCCAACATGCTGCTGGAGATCGGGGGCCTGGAGTTCCCAGCGGCGCCCTTCAGCGGCTGGTACATGAGCACGGAGATCGGCTCGCGGAACCTGTGTGACCCGCACCGCTACAACATCCTGGAGGTGAGCGCCCCGCAGTGGGGGCGGCGGGCGGGGGCCTTCGACTCGAAAACAGATCCACAGAGCGTCAGCCGAGGGAGCATCCGAGCGAGCGCTGGCAGCGCAGGGTCGCCTCCCACGCCAGGACTTTGGGGGAGGGCCCTGGAAGCACCGAGGCTGCAGCAACGGGGGGTGGGGGGTGCGTGCGTGAGTGCAGTTGACTCTTGAGCAAGGCAGGTTTGAACTGCAAGGGTCGGTTCGGGAACCAGCCTGTAAGTGGCCCCGCGCAGCTCAAACCCACATTGTTCCAGGGTCAAGTGTATATATACCCTTCTGGAGATAGGATCTATAGGCCTACAGCTTTCATCAGATTCTCAAAGCAGACTTTGCCCCCCAAAATGTTAAGACCCATTTTAGAGATGAGAAATTAAGGCCCAGGGTTGAGAAGCGACTGGCCCAGGGTCCCTCTCTGCTCTGCGGTGCCTTTGCAGACAAGAGCCTGAACCGGCCCCAAACTAGGCAGGGAGGCCTCCCGAGGTTACCTACCTCCCTCCCTCCCTCCCTCCACGCATGAGCTGGAGACAAAGGCGCTCTCCATCCCCTCCCCGCCACCCCGTGCCTACCAATGCCACGCACCCCTGCCCCCAGGATGTGGCCGTCTGCATGGACCTGGACACCCGGACGTCCTCGTCCCTGTGGAAAGACAAGGCGGCCGTGGAAATCAACTTGGCGGTGCTGCACAGTTACCAGGTGCACAGGGCAGACGGGCCAGGGGGCGTGAGGCCCGGGGCGAGAAGGGAGGTGGCACTTGGGGACCGGGGCAGGATTTGGGGACAGCGGCAGGAGTTCTACAGTCCAACCGCCATGGGGCGCTCGGGGCCTGCAGTTCTGGGGACACGGCCCATCCCATTCCAGGTGCTGCAACGTGGGGGCCCGTGTGTGCCAGGAGCACAGCTGACGAGTGTATGCTCAGTAATTCTGGGGGCACACTGAAGTGTGTGGGACCCACTGAAGTCTAGGAACTCTAGTTCCAGGACCGAGGGTATGCCGAGCAAGGCAACTTGGGGGAAACGGTGCCTGCTGAGTACTGCTATGGGGTCTCGAGAGTTTCGGATCTTGGGCTGGGGGCGCAGGGCATACAGATACCGGAGACTGCATGCTGAGCCTTGAGCTGCAGTTAGGGGGTGACGCAGGTTGAGGAGAACACAGTATTTGTTAGATTTGAGGTGACACGGAGCACAGGAGGGTTTGGGGTGACAAGGGTAGGGCCTGTAGGCTGAGTCTAAGCCCATCCCAACCCCCCCATGCCCCAGCTGGCCAAAGTGACCATTGTGGACCACCATGCCGCCACCTCCTCCTTCATGAAGCACCTGGAGAACGAGCAGAAGGCGAGGGGGGGCTGCCCTGCCGATTGGGCCTGGATCGTGCCCCCCATCTCGGGCAGCCTCACCCCTGTGTTCCATCAGGAGATGGTCAACTATTTCCTGTCCCCTGCCTTCCGCTACCAGGTACCCACCCCGCTGGCTTTGCTGCTCTGACTAAGCAGCCTCTAAACTTCTGTTTTCTTGACTCGCATCCCCTTCCGCCCTCCTCACTCCCCTGTAGCCGGATCCGTGGAAGGGGAGCACAGCCAAGGGTGCCGGCATCACCAGGAAAAAGACCTTTAAGGAAGTGGCCAAGTAGGTGCCCTGGGAATGCTGCCCTTCCCCCAACCCAGGGAGGCGGGGACCAGCCCCAGTGGTGGCACCAGCCCTCCACACTCACCACTTAGTGCCCCCAAGACCCTGCTTGGCCCGTGCTCTTGGGAGAGGCCCAGCTCCATGTGCCTGATCTCCCTCACCCACCTCTGCCCACAGTGCTGTGAAGATCTCTGCCTCACTCATGGGCACCGTGATGGCCAAGCGTGTGAAGGCCACAATCCTGTATGGCTCTGAGACCGGCCGGGCCCAGAGCTATGCACAGCAGCTGGGGAGGCTCTTCCGGAAGGCTTTCGACCCCCGGGTAGGGCTGAGAACAGAGCGGCAGGCGTCTGGGGTGGGGTGGGGGGTCCACTCGCATCCTCAGATGCGCCCTGGAGGACAGGAGAGAGTCACAAGTTAGGGCCCGCGAGGATCCTGGGGATCCACGAGGAGTCAGGGAGCAAGTCGGGGCCTGAGTCCAGCTCTGCGGGGTGTGTGTGTGTGGGGGGAAGGGGACAGAGTGACATCGGGGCCTGAGTCCAGCTCTGCGGGGTGTGTGTGGGGGGGAAGGGGACAGAGTGAGAAGGACCCAGCATCAGAGCCTCAATCCCCAGGACATCTGTCTTCTCCTCACCCACAGGTCCTGTGCATGGATGAGTATGACGTGGTGTTCCTCGAGCACGAGACGCTGGTGTTGGTGGTGACCAGCACATTTGGGAATGGGGATCCCCCAGAAAATGGAGAGGTGAGGCCTGCAGGAAAGGGGCCACAGGGCATGGCGGGGGGGACACACTACACTGGAGGGGCTGGGCATGCCCCTCACCCCCCGATGGAAAGTGGAGATGCCGTGAGTCTCCCAGGCCCACCCACAGCTGCCCCGACGCACATACTGCTTGACCGTGTCCCTGTGCCACATCCACTGCTGGTGCACGTGCTTACCTGCCAAAGGCACTTCTGTCAATGCTCTTGGGCATTGACAAATGAGAAAAACAGGAATACCCCGCTCGGTACGCAATTTCTGCTTTTTCTTCTTAACAAAAGAAAAGGGCCCCGCTCAGATGTCAGCAGAGATTAGGCAATTTCACTTTCTGAACAAATCTTAAACAAACAAACTAAAATACCACCCCGTCGTCTTTTATTGTGAACCATTCTCTTTCAAGCTGCTCTGTCTCCATTCGTGTCTGGAGGCCTTATGTGTCCCTGCTTCCAGGTGAGAAATGCCCTCTTAACACCCCAAGCAGAATCCCGACATGAGCCTTCACCCCGGCCTTGCTGCCCATCGCAGTCCCCAATCTGATTTGCCTTTTAAAGAAAAATAGAATCACTCACTTTTGTTTAGCATAAAAGTATTTACACCCATGTGACCCACAACCCTTTCGAGACCTAGAACATCTCCGTCGCCCTGGAGAGTTCCCTTGCCAATTTCCCCTGTCAATCAGTCCTCTTCACAGCCAATGTCCCCACCAGAAGCAGCCACCATTCTGACTTTGTCACCTGGGTTAGCTTTGCCTGCTCTAGGACGTCCTAGGAAGGGGAGCATTCAGTCTTCTGGCTCCTTTTGCTCAGCCCGCTTTCGAGGGTCGTCTCGCGGTTGCGTGACGGGGTAGTGTGTTCCTGTCCCAGGCGGAGCAGCCTCACTGTGTGACTACACCCGGTGTGTTTCTCCACTCTCCCATGGACGCACACTTGGGCCGGTTCCAGTGTTCGGCTATTATGCATAAAGCTGTTATGAGCATTCTTGTGCAAGGCTTTTGTGGGCTTATGTTTTCATTTCTCTTGGAAAAATACTTAGGAGTGGAATTGCTGGGTCATCGGGTTAGATGTACATTTAATTTTTTTTTTTTAACTGCTAAAGAGCCAAACAGATTGAACTGCATCCTTAAATTCTGTGTATTTCAACATATGTAAAGTTTACCTCAAATTTTTTAAAATGGAGCAAACCCAGGAATATACACCACAGGAAATGGTGTATATGCACTAAAGACACGAAATAGAATATTTATAGCAGCATTGTTCATAATACCCCACTGGAAACAACTCAAATAACTTATCGACAGTAGACCGGATTTTAAAATTGTGGCATATTCAAACACGATACAGCAATGAGGGTGAACGAATTACAACCACGCAGCAATATGGATGAGTCTCAACCACAATTTAGAGTGTAAGGAAGCCAGATACAAAAAAATACAGACCATGGGAATCACTCCGTATGAAGCTCAGAAACAGGCAAAGTGAATCGTGGTTTTACTCAGGAGAGGGGTTGGTCCCCCCAGGGTGGCGGTAGTGAGGAGGAGGCAGGAAGGTGACTTCTAGGGTGCCAGTGATGTTTCTTAAGGGGACCCTGATGACGCAGGTCTGTTCAGTTTGTGAAGGTCTAGACAGCTATACATTTATGATATGTGTGCTTTTCTGTCTGTACGTTACACTTCGAAAAAACGCGCGAAAAATAAAATTAAGGTAGCACATGCTAATTACGGTGACCCCAAAGACCTCCCCATCCAAATATACCTGCAGTTAACGCTGGATGTGGTGGGCTGGCCACGTTTTGTTTTTTCTGTGAAGGTGCTTTGGCGTAGTTCTGTTTCCGAGGCGGCACGTGATGTGCCTCAGCCTTCTGGAAGATGTCAGTGATCAGGGCAGGGAGGCCGGGCGCTGTTTTCCACCTAGCAAACTGAAGCGTTAAGGACCCACAACGCCGAGTGTTGACGGCAGTGCAGAAAGAGCGCTCCTCTGCCCTGACGCTGGGAGGATCATCAGGATCCCATCAGGCTTTCGAGTCCGCTGACTCAGCAGTTCCACCGAAATATGCAAATGAGGATGCAGAAATATGTAAATGAGGTGCAGAAATATGTAAATGAGGGTGCAAAATATGTAAATGAGGGTGCCGGCATGCATGGGTGTCTGAGCCTTGGGCCTGGACCACCCAGATGTTCTCAGTATGATGGGGTGTTGGGTAGCCATTCAAAAGAATGAGGCTAGTCTTAGGATGCGGACCTGGGAGGAGGTCCTGTGATAGACTAGTGACGAAAAGCAGATGAATACAGTTTGGCCCCATTTTTCATTAAAAAAACAACTATAAATATAGATATATGTATAGGTACAACAGAAAAGGGCTAGAGTGTCAACACCTGTCAATACCGGCCATGCCCTGGCAGGTAAGATTGGAGGGAAGATTCGAGCAGATTCTTTCTTACTCCTTCACAGCCTTCTGGAATGTTTTCAAAAAGCTGATACCTCTTTTGATATTTTCAGAACAAATTAAAAGTTATAAATAATAATAAGGGCCAGCCCGGTATAGTTTCCACCTTCTGTAGAGTTTTTGAAATAAAACTAACCGTGATGCTCCCCCTGCAGAGTTTCGCGGCGGCCCTGATGGAGATGTCCGGCCCCTACAACAGCTCCCCTCGGCCCGAGCAGCACAGGTGAGCGGGCCAGCGAGCGGGGCAGGAGATTCGGGCAGGTGGGGGCAGTGAGGCATGTGGGGACACAGACGGAAGGAGGTCTGAAGAGTCCCCCACCCTCCCGCCGTGTCTCCAACAAGCTGGAGGACGGATGGGACAGGCCAGGGCGCCACTGCCCTCTTTCCTGAGGCCTGCCCACTCACAGTCCCCAGGACTCTAAGAGGCCAGTGAGTCGCGAGGTCGCCTTCAGAGAGGGGTGGGGAGGCAGAGTAGAGCCCGGAGGCCCAGAGAGCCCCAGGACATGGGCCCTCACCCCCAGCCCAAACCTGTTCCGGAGAGTGAAGCCTAGCCCCAGGGCAGGGCCTGCTGTCCCCAAGGCAGAGACCCTAAAGCTGTCCCCTAGCTGCGTCTGGGCCTGCGCCACATCTCCAGCCCTGTGACACCCCTGTCTTTGTCCTCTTTCCCCAGGAGTTACAAAATCCGCTTCAACAGCGTCTCTTGCTCAGACCCCCTCGTGTCCTCCTGGCGGCGGAAGAGAAAGGCGTCCAGTAACACGGACAGCGCCGGGGCCCTGGGGACCCTCAGGTCTGGGCGGCAGCGGGGGGCGGCGTGCCTGGGGGCCAAGCTCCCGGGGCACACGTGGGCCGGGACGGGGTGGGCTCCCGTGACGGCTCCCTGCCCCCCAGGTTCTGTGTGTTCGGGCTGGGCTCCCGGGCGTACCCCCACTTCTGTGCCTTTGCTCGTGCGGTGGACACACGGCTGGAAGAGCTGGGCGGGGAGCGGCTCCTGCAGCTGGGCCAGGGCGACGAGCTGTGCGGCCAGGAGGAGGCCTTCCGCGGCTGGGCCCAGGCTGCCTTCCAGGTGAGCCCCTCGGCCTGTCCCGACATCTGACCCCCGCCGCCCTTCCAGCCCCAACTCGGACTTGCTCCAACCTGGACACCTCCCCACTGACACCTGCAACACTGAGACTCGGGGCCTCACCACCACCCCAGTTCTGTCCGGTTATCTGGTCCCTTCCTGTTCCTTCCGAAACTCACCCTCATCTTGGCTCAGTCCTGGGCAGTGGACGACATCGCCCTAACAACACAGGAGGCGCCTCGCCCGGGCAGAAGAGACGAGGCAGGGAGGGCCCTGGCAGGCAGGAGGCTCGGTGGATGCACAGAGGGAGGGGATGCAGGGAAAGGCAGTATGGAGGGAGAGACGAAGGATGGAGACAGGGCCGGACAGAGAGCTAGAGCTGCGGCCACACTGAAACTCCAGGAAGTCAGAGGCCAGACAGGCTCGGGGCAGAGCTTGGACTGGAAGGGGTCCCGCAAGGAGGGGCAGGTCCCAGGGCTGTGACTTTCTAAGCCTGGGTTTCCTCCGGAGGCAGCTCTGCCTGGTCTGGGGACCGTGCCTGGATCCGAAGGGGCTTGTTGTCCCAGACACTGTTCAGAACCCGCTGGCGTTCCCCGGCTTGAGCTCAGCAGGTCTGGACTGATGGAGAGGAGGGCAGCCCAGGAGGAGGGTTTGCTGGGGAGGAGGAGGTCAGGCCGGAGAAACTGGTCCGAACTGGGAGGAGAGGGAGACTAAAGAATTCGGACAAAGAGAAGCTCCTGCAAGTTAGGAGCGGGACGGGAGAAGGAAGGGGCGCAGCGCGAGGTTTCGGGGCCTTCTCTAGCCTGCGGGGTCAGCCGGAGGAGCTTCCAGCTGGAAGCAGGAAGGCGCTGAGCTGACTAGGGCGGTAGCAGTGGGGGAAGGAAGGAAGGGAGGGGGCTGAGGAAGGAAGGAAGGGATGTAAGATTTTACATGCACAAAAGACGGATTAACAGAACTGGGGCGAGCGGGCAGGGAGGAAGCAGCGTGGACAAGCCCGATGCTCAAGCCGGGGACTGGCCCAGCGGCTTGCAACTTGCGCCTGAGCAGAAACAAATAGAATACGCACCCTCCCTGGGCCTGGCCCCCGGGGACCCCTCCAGCCCCCTGTGCCCAGTGCAGGGGAGGACAGACCTGCCAAAGGCCCCTCCATGGCCTCACTCCAGGAGCTAATAAGAGCTTTGCATACAGTATCTCGTTTCAGCTTCACTGGAACCCAATGAGGTGTAAAGATGGGGAAACTGAGGCACTTTACCGTAAGTGTAGGAGTCAGAATTTGAATGCAGGTCTGAATGCATAGAACAGCAGATTCATTCACTGGATGCTACCATGTGCCGAGCACTGTGCTCCTTGGGGCACAAAACTAACACCCCAGGTTAAGTAACGAGCAGATGTGACATAAACATATGCGAACGGATAGCAGTGGCAGAGACATGACATGGGCTGAAGAACGAGGTGCCACAGGCTCAGTCTCCATCTCAAGCCCATTCTCCCTCCTGCCACTATGGCTGCTGATGCCACAGTCACCTGTGAGCCTCAGATGGCGCCTCCCGCTCCTGGGCCCCTCTGCTCCCACAGCCCCAGGAATGGAAGGTGGCAACTGGAGACCCAACAGGCCCAGCTCCACCTCCCACATCAGGCCCCTCGAACTCCTCAGCCCTCACCACCTTGCCCCTCAGGCCTCCTGTGAGACCTTCTGCGTGGGAGAGGATGCCAAGGCCGCCGCCCGGGACATATTCAGCCCCAAACGGAGCTGGAAGCGCCAGAGGTACCGGCTGAGTGCCCAGGCTGAGGGCCTCCAGCTGCTGCCAGGTGCGGCCCTGACCTCTCCCCCGACCCTGCTGGCCCTCTGGACTCTCCAAGGCCCCAGGACCAGCTCCCAGGGACACTGGCTCCCTGCCTCAGGCTCAGTTTCATTTGCCACCCCGCCCCTCCCCGCCAGGCCTGACCTACGTGCACAGACGAAAGATGTTCCAGGCCACAGTCCTCTCAGTGGAAAACCTGCAGAGCAGCAAGTCCACGTGAGGAAGACACCCCCTGTCACCTGTCCCCGCCTCATTCCCCGGACTCCGGCACCCTCCTCCCCCCACGTTCTGCCTCCCGCCCCGCTGTAACTGGCCCCTCCCCCCACCCACAGTCGGGCCACGATCCTCGTGCGCCTGGACACCGGAGGCCAGGAGGGGCTCCAGTACCAGCCAGGGGACCACATAGGCATCTGCCCGCCCAACCGGCCCGGCCTCGTGGAGGCGCTGCTGAGCCGTGTGGAGGACCCGCCGCCGCCGGGCGAGGCCATGGCCGTGGAGCAGCTGGAGAAGGGCAGCCCCGGTGAGGGGCGCAGTCTGGGCGCCGCGGTGGGAGCCGCCCCGTCCCCATGGTCCCAGGGGCCCCTGGGTTCAGGACCTGGCAGAGGGTTGTCGTATCCACTCACCGCTAGCTGTGCCACAGAGCACGGCTCCCTTTCCAGACCTGTCCCCACACACCCCCGAGAGGCTGTCTCCTCCCTCTGGTTCCTCCCAAAGGCTCCCCCAGCAACCTGGCCTGCCCTGTGGCTGGCGTGGGTTCCACCTCCTGCCGCACTGGTGCCCGGGGTTGAAATAGGTCGGGTGGGGGAAAGGTAGAGGAGGCCCCAAACACACGGGAGCTGCCCAGACAAGCCCACCACCACTGTTCAAGGTCAAGGTCGCCAATAAAATGCCACGAGGCATGGTCGGTCCCCATGTGCCCCCCAAGAAGCAGTTGTCACCCCAGACGAGGCAGTTCTGGCGTGGCCCCTCCTTCAGAGCTCCCCTGTGCACCACCCCTAGGTGGCCCTCCCCCGGGCTGGGTGCGGGACCCCCGGCTGCCCCCGTGCACCCTGCGCCAGGCTCTCACCTTCTTCCTGGACATCACTTCCCCGCCCAGCCCCCGACTCCTTCAACTGCTCAGCACCCTGGCTGAAGAGCCCGGCGAACAGCAGGAGCTAGAGACCCTCAGCCAGGTTGGGGGCCACCCTGGAGGGAAGCGGGGCCAGTGAGGCCGGATGGGCTGGGGGAGGGGAGCCCACCTAATGTTTGTGGGCCTGAACTGAGGCGCGGGAGGGGTCGAGAAGGGGGTCAGCAGGCAGAGCTAAGGGATTCCAAGCCCACTGCGCCCCGCCCCCACCAGGACCCCCGGCGCTACGAGGAGTGGAAGTGGTTCCGCTGCCCCACGCTGCTGGAGGTGCTGGAGCAGTTTCCGTCCGTGGCTCTGCCCGCCGCGCTGCTCCTCACCCAGCTGCCCCTGCTCCAGCCCCGGTACTACTCCGTCAGCTCGGCGCCCAGCGCCCACCCCGGAGAGATCCACCTCACGGTGGCCGTGCTGGCATACAGGACCCAGGGTGAGGCTGGGCGGCGGGGCAGGGCCGGGGCCCGGGCCCTGGAGCGACCCTGGGATGGGCCCCTCACTGGCCCCCTCTGCGCCCCCAACCAGATGGGCTGGGCCCCCTGCACTACGGCGTCTGCTCCACGTGGCTGAGCCAGCTCAAGGCCGGAGCCCCTGTCCCCTGCTTCATCAGGGGGTAAGTGAGCACCGTGGGAGGTGGGGGTGGACGGGGGACCAAGGAGAGAGTGTCTATCCAAGCAGGGGCGGAGAGCGCGCCCCACGGCTGGCCGGGACAGCTGGAGGACTCGGTGGGGTTGCACAGGGTGAGGTGGAAGCTTCGGTGAGGGGTGTGGTTGGGAGCAAGGAAGACCCACTGACCACGCCAAGGCCAGGGCATCCAGCTAAGCCACTTCAGAGCTCTGGCTAAGTTTTTGGCCTTGAACCAATTTGGACGTAGGGTCCTGGCCTGAAACTGCAGCTCCCAGAGATGGGGCTGGGGTGTGACCTGCAGGCTCTGCTGCTTTGAGAAGATGTACCGTGTCCCTGGCTACACCCTTGGGGTCAGTCTGCCATTGGGAGGCATGGCACCTGGGAACTGTGCCCACCCAGTCAAGAGCAGGTCCCCACTCAGTCCCGGGAGAACTAGCCAGGTTACCACGAGGTCAGCGAGGGCTCCCAGGAAACCCTCCCCTCGTGCTGGGTCAGAAGTCTTGCCCCATCCAGCGGCTGGGAGCCGAAAGTCTCGGGCAGGTCAGTGAAGAGTTCCTAGGATGGCGCCAGCCAGGCCCAGTGACCCAAACCCATGTGGGAGGCTAAATTACAAATAAGCTGCAGCAACCTACTGAATACAAACCGAACACTAATATTGAGGCTGTGATTTAAAATCAATACACTCGGTGAACTCATAATGAACCAAGAGACCGTCCTACCCTTTCCTTAGTTTCTACATCTCCTCAACTGGGACGTCAAAATATTCTTCAGTTCAAATTTGAACTGTATTTCCTCTGACCCAGCTTCTGGAAACCACAGATCCAGGGAGCTTCCGCCTGCTAGCAGAGTTCTCTAATAAACACACCGTGCTTACTACAAACTAGACACTGCCGTAAGCACTTGACAAGTATTAACTCGATTATCAACAGAAGCTGAGTCCTCCTCTCTCCGCCCCACCAAAGGCTGGTAAGAAAGGGGAGCTGGGGCATCAAAGGGGGGCCTGACGGGCTGTCTCTTTGCTAGGGCTCCCTCCTTCCGGCTGCCACCGGACCCCAGCTTGCCCTGCATCCTGGTGGGCCCAGGCACTGGCATCGCCCCCTTCCGGGGCTTCTGGCAGGAGCGGCTACATGACATTGAGAGCAAAGGTGAGGCTGGGGGCCAAGGGAACAACTGGAAGGCAGGAAGCAGCCACACAAAGGGCGGGGCTGGGGTGCAGGAGCCAGGTGGGAAAGAGGGCCAGGAATGCGCTACAGAGGTGAAAAGAAGCCTCGACCAAGGGGGAGGGGGAGGGCCTCGAGGCCAGGGCAGTGCCCTGTAGGTATGGCTTCCTGGTGGTGGGCACAGTGTTGGATTGGATTAAGGACAAAGGGAACCAGGAGTCTGGAGAGGATGGGGCTGGGACGCGGAAGACAAATGCCCTGGGCGGACTCTGGACCATGCCGGAGCTCACCTAGGTGTGTCCAAGATCCAAGGAAGCTACAGGATGTTCAGGTTGGGCACCGGGAGCCCAGGGCAGCTGGTAAATGGAAGGAAGGGGCTGTGACTGAGAGGAAGGTAGGAAGTGTGGGATCTGAAGGTGTGGGAGCTTATGGGGTTGGAGCAGGGCAGGGACTAGATGGAGTCCCAGAACTGCAGTGTTAGGCGGTCAAAAGGCATGGAAGTCCGAGTCAGAAGCCCCACGTTCCAGCGCCGTCAGTGACCATTCCAGCCGAGGAAAGGCACGACCTCCTGCAAGCTTGGGCTTCTCTGTAAACCAGGTTCTGGCAGGGTGTTTGAGGAGTGCGCCCTGCATCCTGCCGGAGTGGTAGTTTGTGCCCAAAAGGTGTGGGCCGTCTGCCTAGGCAAAAGTAGCCAAAAGCGAGGTGTGGCCAGGGCTGCCGCGAGGAAGGGATCTCTCCCAAGCCGCCCGCTACTTGCAGGGCTGCAGCCCGCCCCTATGACCTTGGTGTTCGGCTGCCGATGCTCCCAGCTCGACCACCTCTACCGCGACGAGGTGCAGGATGCCCAGCAGCGCGGAGTGTTCGGCCGTGTCCTCACTGCCTTCTCCCGGGAACCCGCCAGCCCTAAGGTGCGGGACCCTGAGGGCTCAGGGATAACCTGAAACTAGGGATGTGGGAAGGACCGATGCGCGCTCCCGCGGTGCACACCCTCCGCCCCGCCCCTTTGCTCCCACCCAGCAGCACTCAGGCACCCGCCCTCACTCGTCCCACGAGTGCCCGAGGCCCCTTTGGGTATCTGGCACCCTCCCCCGAACCCCGCCCCAGACTCGCTCCACCTCTCTAGACCCCACGGCCAGCTCCCTTAAGCTCTACCTGGCGGGAATCTTTAC